GTAGTGGTTATGATAAAAAAAATAATAATTATGTGATCGGTATCGGTGATTGGCCGTGATCGGCCCTCATGGGTGATCGGAATCGGAATCGGTGGGAAAAAACCTGATCGGCACATCTCTACCGGGGACTGAACCACAAGTAGAATAGAGACTGCTATAAAAACACAGCTGCAATGGAATTGTTAAAACAAAGCAAATTCATTGAATAGAATGGCCCAGTCAAAGTCCAGACCAAAATCCAAACCAGAATGTATAGCAGGATGCTATCCAATCTTTTAAGACTTGCAGTTGCAATTGTAGCAAAGTTAGTCGAACACAGATCAGAATGCCAATGTGCAGTATACTTTTTACATTTATATTTGTACATAAATAAAAAAATCAAATTCCTGAGTTGCTTTCCTTAGACATTGCAATCAAGGGTTGGCTTATGTTGAACTATCAAGTAAGATCTCCAAAAATTCATCAAATAAAGGATGTTATTTTTTAGGCTGACATGGGAAACAGGTTTTCTGTTTTTCTGTTTTGGCTGTATGAACTAAGTGAAGAATATTAATTAAATCAGACTACTCTCTATTCAAAATCTGTAAAACCAAATACATTATGGATAAAAGTGATTCATTTCTGTACTTCCTCTGCTTGTGGTCCAACATACTTGTTCTCTCCATGACGGATCCTTTGTACTCTTCTTGAAAAACTGGGCAGTTATCATTGATATCTGTCACTTCAATATCAAATTCCCCAGCGTCCTCTATCAACAGGCCATTTCCATCGTACATCCTGGCCGTCAGATGATACCAGGCCTTCTTCTCTCTGTCCAGACGCTCCTTGACATACAGGTTTCCTTTGTTGTCCACAATGAAGGTTTGGTTCACTCCTTCACCTTCTATTGTAAACGTCCTCACTGCCACTTTTTGGTCTGACCGAAGCTATAACAGAACAAGAACAATACGACGTTCATAACACATACCAAGATATTCTTGATATTTATTAAAAAAACTAGAACTCAATGCCCTAGATCAGGGGTGGGCAACTCCAGGCCTCGAGGGCCGGTCTCCTGCAACTTTTAGATGCATCTCTACTTCACCATACCTGAGTCAAATAATGAGGTCATTAGCAGGACTCTGGAGAACCTGACTGCACTTAAGGAGGTGACTCAGCTGTTGGATTCAAGTGTGTTGGACCAGGGAGACATCTAAGAGTTGCAGGACACCGGCCCTTGAGGACCAGGATTGCCCACCCCTGCCCTAGATTGTTGCATGGCATAAGACAAAACAAAAACACAAATGTATCTGCTTTAAGTAAGAAAACAGTGCACATAAACAAAACTATAGTCTCAAAAGTAATAAAAATCCTAGATTAGAGAGTTACAAACCATACCTGTTTTATCTTGTAAGGGATGGGTGCCTCTCTTTCTTCTGTCACAGAAATGGAATTCCACACCCAAGCCCTCTTCTGTCTGACCAGCACCGGATGGGACTCTTTCTTCACAATGTCAACTGAGTCTCGTCTTTCTGGTACCACCCCAGAAAGACCAGCGTCTGGAGCGACGATGACATAGAATTGGAATGCCAAAGTGAGAAGGAGTCTTGCTGTCTGCACCTGGAGCCACGCCATTGTCTAAAAACACATCGAGACAGGACCAGGAGCAGGGAGATGAGAGAATGAGGTGATGAAAGGAAAGGATGAGTGAAGAAAGAGGCAAGGCAGTAACGAGGGATGCAGGGAGGAAAATAGAGAAGAAAAGAAGAGTTGAGATCAAATTAAAACCACTTATCAGCTGTGGACAGACCTCTTCACTGTGCCTGGGTGAAAATTAGAGGCAAGGCCAAAGACTCTTTGTCCCATTACGATCTATGGCTGAGCTCGAGGTCTAGCTATCATTTAGGTCCAGGGCTCTTAAATCTTTGCAGCTTGGGACTCAAATGAAACATTTAGCCTCTCACCAAGGGAGCTGTACTGAAAGCATTTCACCAGAGTGGTAATTTGGGGATCCATTAAACATAGGCCTGTGACCCAAATTAGGTCCTCACTACAGCCTGACATATTGGCTGTAGTCAGAGAGAGACTAGCATACATGGAGAGATGACAATAAAGAACACGTTGGATCCCTGTTTTAATCAGTCATTGAAATTTTGAGTTTGTGGCAACTGTTTTAATACAGCAAAATAATTCAGGGTTTCCTCCAGTGTATTATAAGCCTGGCGGAGCTCGGGTAAAGCCTGTGCCCCCACCGGGCTAAGCATTGCAATGCTTATTTAAGTTTTTTCTTTTAATGTTTGCATTTTTTAAGACTTTATAGTTGGTGTTCAGGTATTATTAATCTTCAATAGCACGTAATTATCAAGTGATATTTTCAAATTTCCTGTCAACTTTAAAAAAAATTTAACTGAAATATAGGACAGGCGCCTGGATGAATGACTGCCCTGGCACCCAACCACTGGGCTTAGCAAGTTTTCTGGGGGAAACTTTGTAATTGATTTGAAATGTAAGGGATTTGAGACTAATAGTTTCAATTTAAAAGATGGGTTATTTTGGTATATTGATTTGTTCTTAAATATAGATTATAGTCATTTGTGTTTTTAGCATGAGATCATTTGGGAGATTGTGTTATGTCAGATCAGCCACAACCTGAATGATTAACTCTGACATCTTACCTGATAAAGGTCTACATTAAGGATTCAATCTCAAAGCATCGCAAGTCTAAAAGAAGCTGAATTTTTATCATGATACTCTGTGATTTATGTAATTTCTGTGTATCATTCAGTTCCACCTTTGTATTCACATACAAAGGTGATTCACACTGTAACACTGTAACTTTGATTAGCCTGATTTATTCTGATTGAAACAAAATTAAATTATTGAATAATTATATTGAATTAATTTGAGTCCCTTTTGAGTTCATGGATTTTGACTGGTTACAAGTGTCTTGCATGATTTTTTTTCTGCCTCCAAGCTTTTTAGTTTAATTAAACCTAAATAAATGTATACAAAATACCAGCAGTTGTGAGTGGAGTTGCTTTTTTGCAGTGTGCTTATGTTACCATGTCTATTTACGTCGTCGTTCTCGTGTCTATTGCCCCCCTCTCCCCCAACAGGCTCTATCTAATAAGGCAGAAATGCCAGGGAAATAATCTTCAAAACACTTTAGTCTTTCTGCCCTGAACTGCAGCTGATTTGTTGGCGCAGCCCAGTGCCATCCCAGTGGACGGATTAGAGCATTTTATTGTCTCGCAGCCATTAGCAGTAGGGAGGGAGAAAGAAAGATTATGGTGAAGGGATTATTCTGGCGCAGTTCTCCGTCTAATGGCCTAATCCGGTATTCTGCTGACCTCCCCTCACCTCTTCACACAGCTCTGTAGAATTAAGCACTAACAAAGACTCAACAGTGTTTTGTGGCCTTTGCCTGACTTCCTTCTGTTTACATTTTATGCTGTTTTCTTTGTTTTGGGACTCCATTAACTGAATGGCATTGTATTGTCCTTTGTTGTACTTCACTGCAGACTACAGAATGCAGGAGCTGATTGTGAGCCCTTATGTTTTTATGATTCTATTCCAGTTAGATGTTATGTGTAGAACATATACTGAAAGCCAAAGCAAGCCATTTGGGTTTTGAAAGATTTTTTCATGGGTTTTAATTTGGAGTTTGTCTGCTTTTCACTAAATTCCCATCCACCTTTTGAACCAGACTGATTATAAATGATGAAAATTAACAAGCTGATTGTTAATTTTCATTAACAAAAATTAACAATACATAATATTATGTATTATGTATTACATACATAATACATAATAATACATGTATTATGTTTGTATTATACATACATAATACATACAATTATGTATGTATTGTACATACATAATTGTCAAGCTGATTATGTATGTACAATACATAAGCAGCATCTAAAATGTCATGCCCTGAAGAAATCACAATTAAAGAGATTGATCATCCCTCACTTCATCATCTCCTCTGCGTCTAGTTTTCTACTAATAATTCAGAAGCAATGGACCTGAAGAGGCTGAATATGATTTTTTTTTT